AGTGAACCTTGGTGACTATGGAGTTAGCGCCTGATAGCTATGGATTCAGTACCTGATAGATAAACTTTGGCAGCAATGGACTTCGTGCCAATTCCTTAGGTCAATCCTTAGGAACGAATGAATAAAGGATAGTTGATTCTTAGGGTAAAACCTTAAGAGTAAGGAAGATAATGGGGATGGGTAATTGGAATGATCGTTTGATGATTGAATATATATATATATATATATATATATATATATATATATATATATATATATATATTGTGGGTTGAAAACCCTATATGCTCACCAGGTTCCCAAGCCTGACCCACTCAGTTTTTCTGTATTACAGGTAGTGGAAAAAGAGCATAGTTGGACGATGACGAGGGATTTTGGATTATAGATCAGTAGTTATAAATAATTGTTGTAAGGTCTATTTTATACTGTTTATGCTTTTGGTCTGTATCGGAACATGACATCCCGAGATTTTATTATTTAATGAAAAGTACGTTCTCTTTGAGAAATGTTTTGATAAAGTTTTATCATATCTTGTTTGGGAACAAATTCTGCAACCGTTTTCTTTAAAGGATTACTCTGATTTATAAAACAAAGCATAAACAAATCAGTTTTTTCTGGCCGGGAAATTGGGGATGTCACATTTATTAATAAAAAATTAATCAATTCCACTATTAATATTTCTATTATATATATGTAAAGTATTTATTGTATTAAATATGTAAATCAATACTATAATTAATAACTATAATTATTAAAGATATTTTTCTCCATAAAATGAATATAATAGTAAATAATTTATGTTTTTCTAACATTAAAAACATTTAGGGAGGTGATATTTCCACGGTTTCTTTTTATTCATCCACATATTTTTAAAGGTAAATGTCTATTATGCCCTTCATTTAGTAGGGATTAGAAAATCAAATCTAGACTAAGGTAGTGTTTGTTTTTTGTCTGCAGATCTGCGTGGCCTCTTCTGTCTGCGCCGCGCAGACCACTCGCAGACATTAGTCTTCGCAGACTGTTTGTTTTTCTGAAGACTGCAGACCTAAAAATGTTTGCGCGCCCTCTTCTTGGCGCAGATGTGGATCAGAGTCTTCTAACATCTTCAGACATCTTCTAGCCTAAAAAAACATATATATCTTTATTTTTTTAAAGTTTTTTTTAATTTATATTTTTTCCAACTTTATTAATGATAAACAATTTCAAACAAAAAATACAAAACTTAAAAAAAACGTTCGACGATACAAACATGATATTTTTGACAAATTTATAAATAAAGATTTATTACAATAATAGTCGTTGAAGTTGTTTATATAAATATGAAAAAAAAAATCATAATATATTCTTATATTTTTTTGCCAAATTTTGTAAAACATTATTTAATACAGTATCGTCAATTTCTCGAGAAAATATTTATGGTACGTTTTTAATGGATTTAATTGAAAAAATCGAAGTTTATTTCCATCCATTTATGTATCAAATTCTTTGATCACTAATTATAATGTTTAGTTATAACTTTGCAACCAAAGTTGTTGGTTTTTATCAAATATATACGTTAATTCATATCATTTTTATTTTTATTTTTTATACAATAATACATAAAAGTTGATCTAGATTCGTTAATTATTTATAACAAAGTCATAAAAATATTAAAAAATCACTTTGAAGTTTAAAAAAATCAGTTTATATAGATTTCAGTTTATTTTAGTAGTCCGCAGATGTTAAAAAAACAGTCTTCTTTTTTCAGACTGCAGACGTTTGGTCCACCTCTTCTACTACAGAGGTCTACAGATGTGGTCCGCAGACTGCAGACATTTTGCCTCAAAAAAAACAAACAGCACCTAAGATACCGTGAATCTCTCTCTCTCTCTCTCTCTCTCTCTCTCTCTCTCCATAAAACTAAAAAACCCACTTCACCGCTCCGGCGCTCCCTCATACGTCACAAATCACCGGTTTCCCTCTCTTCTCCGATGGTTCTTCCCGACGCAAACCCGACCGTCCTTTGTCTCTTTACGATCTTGTCTCCCTAAACCTACTCCTGATGCAGTCTGCAATGTGTTCTAAACAAGAAATCATGAGGATTTGAAACCCCTATATCAAGAGCTCGTAGTTCAAGCCCTTGAATGTACCTCTATGCTACTGTATCTCTAAACCCTTCTTCACTCATCAACAACATGTTCTGATTAAACACGGTGGTGCTTCTTTGGCGATGCAATCATCATAGTAAAAGTTAAGTGATTCATTGTGTATGTTTCATTTGTAACATGGGATAGAGCTTAAACTCCCATGTTATTAACAAAACCTGTGAAAACCACTTCAAGAAACACACGAACCTGAGTCAAAGAAAGTCAAACTCAGGTTGTGTGAAAACCACTTCTGGCAAGAAAGTTAAAGAAGCCAAAAAAAAATCCAGTAAGAAAATCAGTTTGTGTGTCAAACTCAGAGTCGGTTCTTCCAAAATAGCATCGAGCAAAAGGATCATTCATTTTTCAAAAGTTTGCATAGAGAAATAAATTGCCATAAGCTTTTTTATTTTGATTTTAATGGTGCTGTGTAATGGTGTTTTTTGCATTTTTGCTTGATTTTAACAACTTGATTTTGCCAACCTGCAACTTATTTTGATATGTGCTCTGTAATGGAGTTTTTTGTACCTAGAAAGAGCTTTGAAACTGAAAATAGCTTTGCAGATGACCTTCTCCGGTGAACGTGGTTTTTCTCCGGCAAATTTCTGGTTCGTGTTTAGAGTTTTTCCCGTTACTTCCTGTGTATCTTGATGGTACCTTGGTAAGAGAAGGATACAAAAGGAAGATAAATTGAACCTATTTATACTAAGGAGCTGGATTTAAGTAAACCTAAGTTATATTTTGGGCAATTGTTTTTTTTTTTCTTCAGTGGCATGAAAGGAAAGAGAAGGATCCATTTTATTTTTATAAAACAGGGTCATAATTGTCATTTACTTGAAAAATCTGTGAAAATATCAAAAATGTATGTGGATATATCAGCTCCCAAACATTTATTATGATTTTTTTTGTTACATGAATTAAAATAATGAAATGTTATAAAATAATATTGTAAAAATTGAAATAAACTAATTTTAGTGGTGGATTCTAGGATTTTAAATTTTCTATAGCAAATTCGTTTTTAAGACTTTTTTTGCTAAGTATTTTATCTATCTATCTATATATTTTTATATGTTTTCTGACAATTAAGTTGTACATGTAATTTATATTTTATACATGTAATACAATTACAAACAAAGAAAAAAAATGAATTTACAGTTTAGGCTTAGATCATGCAAACACATATTTTGATATATTATCATTATTTTTATATATCTACACGTTTAAATTTTTAATATCTTCATTTTACTAATGGAACTTTTAAAATTTTATAAAAAAAATTCACTATAGTTTTATTACATGAATTATTATTTAAAAATATACATACGAGATGAATTTAAACAACCCTAAAAACAGACACAAATATAGAAAACTATATATTGATAAAAGAAAATTCAATGTTATGTCTCATATCAATCGACAATTATTTATCTACAAGTCAATTTAGTTTGATTGTCATTCATTTTTTATATTGTATCACTTTTTATGTCACATAACCAAGACATTTTCTTATTAATTGTTGTTACTATTATATATCAACCGTAGGTAACCATCCACAACAACATTTAACATCTTCAAATAATTCTATGTATGTTGTCGGTGACAATGGAAATATGAATTCAAATATATCATGTGGATATCGACATACAAGTTTTCATTCTACTTCTAATTTTAGTATTACAATTTCTTTATCTAACAATGCTAACGACAAAAGAAAAACTAGAAAATTATATCTGGATAACAGAATGTTTAATTATATGTCCACTACGCCAAACGGTATTTCTTTTTCTATCATGCAATTTATTTGACTTTTCTTCCATATTTTTTATGTTACACGTTGATGTTATGTTTATTGATTAATTACTTCTGTATAGACATTTTGCGACATAACCAATGCATATTTGTATTAACTATTGTTATTATTACATGCCTAATGATTGTAATGATCATCATTTCTTTGAATATATTTTCAATTTAAATTTAATAAATCCGTTATTATCATTTCTAAAGATGTCATTTCGCATATTTTATCTTTTTTTTATTCATATATACGTTAAATTACAACTATTTATACGTATAGTATAACTTACATCGTTTATATTTTTCTCAATGTTTTTAGATTTTAGTAGCAACGGTCAAACATTGTCATCAAAAAAGTGTACATATGTTGTCGGTAACAATCTAAATCTCACCCAAATATATGATGTGGATATCAACATATACGTTTTCAATTTACTTCCGAAATTTAATCTGAAAAGTCCACTATAACCCCGTTATTTTTAATTTTTGATTCAAAAAAACATTTGAAATTTTTGATTCATAACAATTATTTACAAATATGTCAATAGATTTTTATTAGTATAGATTCAATTACCTATTTATTCATTATTTTGTTTGTATTTATTTCGAAAGTTACTTTAAAAAATATTTAATATTTACACCTTAATTTTCAATATCATTATTTAAAATATGTCAACAGTCTTTTTATTAGTATAGATTGAATTACTTACTTATTCATTATATCGTTTGTATTTATGTAAAAATATTTTCTTTAAAAATTTGTTTAATATTTACAGCTTGATATTAAACTTTTATTTTTAATAAACTCGTGTAATACACGAGTCTCACACCTAGTATATATAATATGACGCTGATGTAAACAAAAAGGTTTTTAATATATATATTTTTCTACCATTCCAAACAATTTAAAATAAATGTATTATTTGTTTTGAGGATTGACGTAGGCCTACTTATACTACTATGTGACATATCTAATTAACAAAATAATCTATTAAGAATAATAAATATTTAAAATTGTCCATAAGATAATAAGCACAATAAAACAACACCTAATTATGTGATTAAATTAATCTTGATCTCTTGTGTAGGTCAACAATAAACTACTACTAGTATCATAAATTTCTAAAACCCATATTTTGAAATCACATGTGATCTAGCTTTTGAATCTTATGCACAATTTCTCAATCGAAAAAACTCAAATATCATCAACATAAATGCTTAATGCTCACCATTGAATGTCCGAGGACCCACCAAGCCTACCCATAATAGCATTCTTGAAACTAGTGGCCTCTTGTGCTTGTGAGCTTGATCTTTGCATTTTCACCCCAAAACTTACACTATTTCTTGACTCCATCATTTCATTAAGTGGCACCTTCTTCTTGACCCCAAATCCAAACTCTGGTCTTTGTTTCGGTGCACTATGAGACCTTAACTTAGCATTGAATGACTTGGTGTTAGCCATGTAACTCCGGTTACTCGATGACCCATCTGTGCATACACTCTTAGATGGAGAGACCGGTCTGTACCGAGTGGGCACCAAATGTGGGGCCCACTCAAACTCATGGCTCTGTGAACTAGGTATGGGTAAACGGACTGGGGATTGATGGCCATGTGGGGATGAGGCGGTTTGGGCATACAAGTTATCTGAATAACCTGGTGTCCAAGCCCATGTGTTAGCCCTTCTAGATCTTGATTTGGGCCTCCCATACCCAGGATCCATTTCAACAATTTTTGGGCTTTCATCATTTAAGGAAGATTCAAATGAAGCTGAAAATCTTCTGCTATGAATAGATGTGTGGTCACTTCTCGTCTCATCAAACCTCTCCTATTATGAAACAAATAATGATAAAATAAAATATTGAATTATATCTCATAAATTAGAAATTTAGAAAAGTTGGCGTATGTTCATTATTACTAATTATTTGTGCAATAATCTACTTTGGGTTAGACCAAATAAAATAATTTCTTCACATTTGTCGACTAAGTAAGATACCAAACGAGTTGACTAGCATGCTTGACTTATAAATTATAATCGCAATTAAATCAATGATTTTACGGAAATAGCAGAAAAAACATGAAAAAACATTCTGTTTTTATGAAAATATACAATTAAAATGAATATTCTTATTCTTATGAGCCAAAGTTCTGTCTTTCACACATTATAATGAACATGATGGTCAGTTTAAAGCTAAAAACAATATAGGAATCGATTAAAAACGTCCATTAATTCAAATATACAATGTTCATCTTTACCTTTTCATAATTTAATGCCTAAAATATCAGTTAAAAAACAATATTAAATCCGTCAATTTGAACTCATTAATATTTTGTAACGATTGCCAAGCAAACAAGTAATCTTAGAAATGAATCACTATAACATGAAAAACTTATAATTGTAAAAGAATTGGAAATTAAGAAAAATGCTGTTTGTTTGCTTACTTTTGAATCTTGAAGTCTGTTCATGGCATGAAATTTCTGCGCACAAACGCTAGATTGCGCTCTCACCAAAGCCTCCATGCTGCGCAGTGTAGCAGCTGCTTGTTTTCTCACCATATATCCTCTCACTAATGCTTGAAGCTTCACTAATCCCTTTAATGCCCTCAATGCTTTTCTTGACTGTTTCAATTTCATTCATTAGATAAGACCCAATTTCGTAATTTAACACAAAAATATGACTAGAACCAAACTCCGGTGTAAAGAAATGAAACTTCTGTTTACCAAATATCCACGAAACAACGATTGAATTTTGATAGCAGCTGAAGCTTCCCGTCCACCGCCGGCCAAGAAGCCCTGACTAGTGAGCTTAACGACCGCCACGGCAGCTTGGGCGGCAGCAACGGCGGCGTCAGCAGCGGCGGCAGTGGCAGCGGCAACTGCAATTGCATGCTTATTCTGGTCTTCCTCCGATTGGGTGTTGTAAATTGATTTATCCGGCGGAGAAATGGTGGGGTCTCTACGTGAGCGGCCGACGCATGAACTATTGGTGTCTTTCCGGTCACCGGAGTCTTTTTGTTTTCTGGTTCCAAACAGCCCCTTCAACCACCGTGTTACTCTGCCCATTGTTCTTCCAGAATCTGAGAACATACAGTAGAGAGATCTATAAAAAAGGGTGAGGAGTGAGGACCAGTTGGAGTATGCAATTTAAAACGCACCAACTTAAAATATTTAAAAGATATTCAAGGGAGAGAGAAAATTTAGGCTTCATTTGTTGCATAAATATGTCACATCTATTGGTCGATTTTCCTCTCTTGCTTTTTTTTTTCTATAATTTTCATAATAAAATCAACAAGCCAAAAAGGTGCTAAAATGAACGTGTGCATGTGCATTCATTGAATTTTCTTTTTAACAAATGTCAATTTTTTCGAATATGTATATGAATATTTTTTATATCACAAAATATGTTTCTTTTGAATTTTGCTCAATAAATCTGACATAATATATATATATATATATATATATATATATATATATCAAAAAAATAAAAATTGTAATATAAAATGGTAGCAGAATCAGATTCTAAAAGTGGTTTTTGCTTGGGGGAAAAGCAGGAAAAAGGAGAGAAAGTAAAAAGGGTGATGTAGAGTGGCTCAAAAGTTTGAACAGTCCACTGATAATGCATTCATTTTAATCAAATAATTGATGTTTATTTCTACTAACTACATAAAAATAAAATTTTAAAATAAATAAATTAAATTATAACTCAATGATCCCGTTATTTTGTTGTATTAATATTTTGTTTTAGAAAAACTTATTTATATTTTTTGAGAAAAAATGCAACGTTTATTTTAGATGTACATTAACAGTTAACTAAGAGCATACATTTGTTATGATTATAAGAATATAATTAAATAGTAAAAATATTTATTTAAGATTTAAAGAAAAACAAAAACTTTTTAAAAGATATATTGAATGTCATTACTCATTAGGAAAATATACAAAACTTTGCCTATTAAATTTTTTTTAAAGAATTTTGGTTTTTATCATCAATAATTTAAATGTATTCTAAGTTTTTAAATAATGTATTTTCAGAAATAGAAAAAACATATCGCAGGTAATTATAACTTTAATAAACTTGTATTTTATATATCATAACTTTCAAACCATTGTTTAAATGGATATTGCCAAACGAAGATTACATATAATAAAAGACATCATTGCTTCCGGTTTGAAAGTAAATCTTAGTAAGAGCAAAGTATATGATGTCGGGGTTTGAAAGTAAATCTTAACAAGAGCAAAGTGCATGGTATGAGGGTGGACAATGTGATGACAACCTTGCTAACATTTTATGTTGTAAGCTCGGGTGATTTCTTTCTCTTATCTTGATCTTCCGATTGGGGCCAACATGATGTTAAGTAAGCATTTTGGTATTGTTGTCGACAAATGCAAATCAAAGTTATCTTATTGGAAGATCAATAACTTATCTTTTGAAGGACGTTTTAACACTTGTAAAATCTATTTTGGACAACCTCCCCCTTAGGTAAAATAGTCTCTTACCCAAGGAGTAAGTTGAGGAGTCGAGACTCTGGTTATGGCTACTGGCCTAATTATTAATTAGGGTTTTGTTTGTTTGGTTAGTGAGGTGATTACCAGTTGCAGCAGCCTGCGTATTTCATTATCAGCAGGATCAATGTGAGTTTGCTCATTATACTGTAGGACACTAGGATATGTTATGTGCTTGTAGTCTTTGTGACTCCTGTTGTATGTGTTATATGCTTGTGTGCATGTTTGTTATATGTATGTGGGGTGAAATAGACCCGGTACAGCTTAGGCCGGCATATGAGTTGAAATAGTCTCGGGGGTGAAATAGACCCGGTACGGCTTAAGCCGAAACATGAGTTGAAATAGACTTGGGGTGAAATAGACACGACGCAGCCTTGAGCTGGCAGATATGTATGGTATGCGGTATTTTTGGGAACTCACTAAGCTTCGTGCTTATGGGTTTCAGTTTACGTTTCAGGTACTTCCAGATCGAAGGGGAAGAGATCGGGATGATCGCATCGCACACACCATATTGTTCCGCACTTTGTTTGATTATGATGTATTTGGATGATTTTGACATACTCTAATTTCACTATGGTTTTATAATAACGTGTTGGATGATAGTTTATTAACATAAAAATCTAAATTTTTAGTCTTAAATTTTGGCACGTTACGACTTTGTTTAAGATTATTTATCCTAAATAATATTCTATCAAAATGTCATTTTTACCCCTTATTATATCTTCATCGTCTAGCTCGAATCTGCGGACGTTACACGCGGGTACCAAAGGACAGTTGTTTGTTGCTTGTTATTTGTTTGTGAGTATATTTCAAGATATTCCTCGCGTGCACGAGTAGAGGCTCGCTACCCCTCGTGTAACCTAGGTGGATGGTGTAACATCCCAAAATTCAAGGCAAAACAATTCATTTTTAAATAAGTTATTACATAAAACCATCAGTATAGAAACATTCATAATAACATCTCGTGTCAACCAAAATGTCAGTAATCAAAACATATTATCATAAAACCATATCAGAGTGTACTCCCAAAGATCTCATGTGCGGAAAACATAGTGTGATGCGCTGCGATCAAGCCGGCTCCTTTCCTTTGAAACGAGTACCTGAAACCAAAACTGTAAACCGTAAGCACGAAGCTTAGTGAGTTCCCCCATCATACCACATACCATACAATCACATAGCCTACATACTGCCAGGCAATTCTGGGGTGCCTGACCTACCCGGTCCGACCATTTTGGGGTGCCGACCTACCCATGTCAAGCCATTCTGGGATGCTGACAACCCATGTCGAGCCATTATGGGGTGCTGACCTACCCGTGTCAAGCCGTTCTGGGGTGCTGACCTACCCATCGGTCCTAACAACCGAACCTCGGGGACTGTTCCACCCCCTACAGCTACTATCACATATATCATAACATAAACATATTATCAGACATATCTGGGGTGTCCGACCTACCCTTCGGTCCTAACAACCGAACTTGGGGACTATTCCCCTCCTACTACCACTATCACATATAACATATCATGCCAGCATATAAACATATCATAACATGCTGTCAGACACATCTGGGGTGTCCGACCTACCCTTCGGTCCTAACAACCGAACTTGGGGACTATTCTCCCCCTACTACCACTATCACATATAACATATCATGCCAGCATATAACATATCAGGTAGTAGCAAACCTAGATGAATATCACAAAGACAATCATCTAACATACAACTCCTACTGGTGGGCCGGCATTGTGGCCGTAGACCCACCGCTACCGGAAGGTAACTCACCTCACACTGCTGAAGTCCCGTAGACACAATCCCACACTGCTGAAGTCCTGCAGACTCAACCCCAGCTGCTGGCTGACAGATTCCCGAACTGTCAACACCAAAATAACACCCAATTAATAATTGGGTTCCACTACATAACCATGAGTACATACCTGGATAATTACTACATTACCCCAAGCTTGGCTTTATTCAAGCCCAAGGCCCAATCCATAGGCCCAAAGTTAATTAGGAATCAAAGCCCAACACATGGCCCAATTTTCCAAATTGGGCCTAGGCCTATACATGGTCTCCTTCTAAAGCCCAACATCATATAATCATTAAGGCCCAAACTATGGCCCATCTATGGCCCAATTTTCCAAATTGGGCCCAAACCCCTTACATGGGCCTTACCATAGGCCCATTAATAACGCAATCATCAAGGCCCAATAGAAGGCCCATCAATACACCCATGTGAAATTAGGATTTCACATAAAATGACGATTAGGGTTAAGTGTTTCTCACTTAACCCATTAAGGACTTAATCCATTAAGGACTTAATCCATTAAGTCCATCATTCTTCTAAATGAGTCATATGGTGTGATTGGGCTTAATCACACAACTCCATTATTCCAATGACCCAAAAGTGGGTCCCAATAAATTCAAGCCCATGAATCCGATATTAGGGTTTTCTAAACTCTAATTAGGGTTTCTAACCCCATCTTAGCCCATTAGGTCCAATTGATATGTCTTTTAATCAATTAAGGTTCACTAGACTCATTAAGATTTCACTAGGCCCATTAAGCCTCATTGGGCCCATTAGGGTTTGTTAGTCCCTTTGTCCAAACATCCAAACAAGTCACGATCCAACTAGGCACACCGCCACCCGACACGGCGGCCGGTGGCGGCACGAGGCGGCAGCCACCACCCTAAGGTGGTGGTTTTTAGTTTCTTTCCATTATTCAAGTTGTAATTTACACTTTACAATGCTGAAACTTAAAATAAACACATACACTGAACAACATAAACACACACACAGCCACCCTATGGTGGCCGGTGGTGGCAGGAGGTGGCAGCCACCACCCTATGGTGGTGGTGATGCCCTTTTTCGAGCAATACAGTCAACACCCACACGTATCATCACGCCTTCAACTTGGAGAGGGAACCCAACCATCCATTTGGTGGCGTATGGAGGCGACAGGTGATTTTACGTCGACAGCCACCGCCTCGCGGTGGTGGCTGTGGTTCCTTTGTGTTCCCAATCGAACAGCCTCCCCCACACTCGAATCTTGAAGCATAATCACACCCATATGAACTCACGAAGAGCTGTAGCAACGATTCACGGTGGTGGTTCGACTGGTCTCGGTGGTTTTTGTTGGATTAATGTCTAAGTTCATAACTATATTTGGTATGTACTTGACCCGACCCGGCATGGTCCATTTGGGTTGCACTTCACCGACACAATTAATATGGATAGTCTTTTGAGAATAGTATATTTATGATTTATATTAATATATTATAAGTTCTAATATATTAATATGGAATCATATTATTTAATTAGTATTGATCAAGAATTAATTTAGAATTAATTAAGTGATCAAAAAGAACTAATTAAATATGGACTCTTATATATATGGAATGGGCCAAGTTCATTTAGGTTGGGGTAAGCTTTCATGGATGGTCCATGGAGCTTTTTAACCCATGGATCCTATGTAAATGAAAGGTCATGGGTATTAGGGTTTACATGGATGTAACCCTAATCCTCCATAATATATAAAGGGGTCCTTGGCTCACAAAATTGGCACAAGTGTGTGAAAATAAGAGTGGGCCGATTTTAGTGTGCATACATATTCTCTCAAGTTCTTCCAAGGTGTTTTGGTGATTTGTGATTCCATTTGAGGCTTCCGCACTATT